TCATATCATCATATCACAAAAATAAAGTCGGATCTCGCAGTTAGGCCACAAGGTAGGGACACTTGACATTCAAGTTTTTCTCCAAGTGTCGAGCCACGTAGACGATAAATAGATGTTATTGTGATACATATGATGCTAAGTAAGCAAATTTTCGATAGATTTTTTAAGATTAAATTGTTGCATATATAGTGTTTTATTATTGATATACTTTTAATATTTCATATTTACAAAATTAATCATAACTTTTTATTAATATCATACAACTTAGTTATATTTTTATCATAAAATTCGTTTTAAAAAGATCTTTAAAAAAAAATCCATTTATAATATAGTTTATTTATTTAAAAAAATAGAAAATTAGTAAAAATAATATTCAATCAGAAAGAATAATTTTAGTTTGGTAAAAATACTTTCAGTTCGGTAAAAATACTTTAAATTCAATAAAAATAATAACAAAAATATCTATTTACAAACAAAAACTACAATAATATACTATTATATAAATAAGCGATATCATATGCTATGATATGTCTAAATATTATGCATTATCAAAAGGGAATATATGACCGTATTTAACATTCAAGCCAAAAACTTTATCCTAAAATTTTATCAACAATCTGGGCATTGCCTGACCACAAAACCGGTATATAACTAAAGTAGGCATTTTTCGGAAGCATTTAGAGCGCCACATAAGAAAAAAATATTATTTCGACCAATGAAATATTAGATTTCTATTTTATTTTAGAATTAAAATATTCATTCACCACCTAAGAAAAAGTAACAAATGAGATTTGAGAATTTAACCACGTAGGTAAAAAAATAGCAAATAATAATTTACGATTTAAATTATTAAAAAAACAAAAATTATCTTTTATATTAGGATTTAAATTATTTAAAAAACTAATTAAAAATTATCTTTTGATTTAATGATTTTGTGTAAATGAGATAATATTTTCATAATTTATTTCAATTTAATAAACTCAACTTCTACGTAACCAATGAATAAGTGTAAAATTAATCAAATAATTTAAAAACTTAAGAAATATATTTACCTTAAATTTATGTTAAAAAATTATAATAGCAAAAGCACAAAAAAAAATTGTTAGATATTAAGAGATTACAAGAAGTATACATAATGAAATATAAAAGAAACCGTGCATCGCATGGGCCGGGCTTAAATCTAGTATATACAAATAAAGTATGTATTTTTTAAGAACATTCGGTGCGCCACATAAGCAAAGACATTAGTTTAACCAATGAAAAAAGATATTCACATTATAATTTAGAATTAAAAAAAATCAATTTTCACATACGAAATATCAACGAATGAGATTTGAGAGTTAATTTTTATGAGTCACATAGGTATAAATAACTACGAATGGTGATTTGATTTAAATTATTTAAATAACAAAAAAAAAAAAACTTTTCACATTAAAAATCTATCTTAATATTCGTCAAATGAGATAACATAAAGAAAGACATTTTTTTTTTTGACAAGAAGAAAACGAATTTCATTAATAAAATGCGTCACTTACATATAATTCCTAAGAAATCAAGAATTCCAGCACAAGTACGTAACACCTGAAAACTAAATACATCACAGATTCAACCAACAATCACCTTAATAATAAACTTCATCTGAAGCAATACAATCAGTGAGTTAGCACTGATTCAGTTTGAAATCCATTGATGCGTAGTAGTTTGAGTGAAAGTACTCATGTGGTCATCTGGATTCTAATGGAGATTATAAAACCCTAAATCTTTAATTATTGCCATATAAATAGAAAAAAAAAATAAACACAAGAGAAAAATCATCATCCCAAGGACTGCATTCTAATGGATTCTAATAGTAGGACTGCATTCTGCAAAAACAAAGTCGAAAAGGGTGCACCTCCACACATTATGTCAGGTGAGGAGTTGTGGGAATGTGTGAAAGATCTTCCGAAGGCTACAGATGGGCCCGAGTCACTTCAACGCCTCAAAAAAGAAAAGAAGGGGTGGTTCAAGCAAAGCATCCTATGGGAGCTTCCCTATTGGAAGCATCTGCGCATTCGTCACAACTTAGATGTCATGCACATTGAAAAACCCTGGAAGGAACCAAGAAAAACCCTTCCAAGGAGAAAACCTAGAGTGAAAGACTTTAATTTTGAATCAAATAATAACTTCTACATCTACATATAAAGACATAATTTTGACCAATAAAAAAAATTACATTTTATTTTAGAATTAAAAAATCAATGACCACATAAGATTAAAAAATTCACGAATAAGATTTGAGATTGTAATTTAAATTATTAGAAAATAATTATAGTAATTTAGGATTTAAATTACTAAAAAATAAAATAAATTTTTTTTCTAACATCAAATATTTTATTCTAATATTCGAACGAATGAAATATCACATTTATAATTATTTTTATAAGCTATAAATTCAATTTTCACATAATTAACATCAACGAATAAGATCGCATTATAAATTAAAATAATAAAAATTATCTTTTTCCAAAGAAGCAATAGAAATTAATCAAAATATTTTATTATCTAATTAAGTAAATTATCCTTTCATGAATTTATGAACAAAAAACCCGTGTATTGCATAGGATTTCATTTAGTATAATATTAAGCAAATAGCTCTCATAAAACTTCGTATAAATACAAGTGATGTATTAAACAAAACAAAGGGAGTACAATAAAACTGTACTACTATTTTAAAACAGGAAGTTTAAAAGACACTTGTCCAATTCCTGCTTTTTTGATTTTTTTTTTAATTTAAATTTTGCATTCAAATGAAGTGTTAAAAAAAATAATTCTCTATACCAAACGCTTTTAATCCCTTCAAAATAAAATGATCAATTTTTCATTTCCATAAAAAATTACCCCTTTCATATTTTATTACTTGCTCCATTTCTCTATGCCTTAGTTTTAGGAAGAGTAGTAGATTGTAATAAAATATGATGAAAGTGGAGTTGGTGGAGGAATGAAAAAACTAAAAAAACAAAAGTAAGTATAATTGGGGGAAAAAATAGTAAAATATTGTTAAAAATTTCCAATAAAGTAAATGCAATCTTTAAAACGGAGGAACACATATAAGAACACAACAGAGGAAATTGTACAATACTCATGTATATAAAGCTTGCCTATAATGTCAATAACGGTGCGTCCATTGGTAAATCTTCCCGTCGGTCCTTCGTAATCGATACCATTAGGCATGGAATTCGCCTTAAGAAGGGACACAATGTAGTTGTTGTTTCCTACATCTACGTCAGAATCTCCGAACACAAAATTTGCTATTTGTTCTTCTGTTCCATAACTTCTATGATTGCTAAGCATACTTAAGGAAATGAGCATCAAGATAATGACTGTTCTTTGTTTGTTTTGAAAACTACCCATTTTCTAGCAAATCAAACTAAATTGAACATAATTGAAAAAATAAACAAAAAATTGCAAGAAGAAATACTCAAGTTTTAAAATTTGAATAAAGTTAAGAAAATTTTCAGACAAGTATACAAAGGAAAATTTTAGAAAGGGATAAAAATATCCAACCCAGCTAAGCTGCCATTAGGCAGTAACAGATTATTCTGATTAGGATAATTATCCTGTAATGATCCTGTAACAGATTATTTTTTATTTTTTTTTTGGTGAGGGATGAAGTAAAAATTGTACAGAGTATTAATATGATAAAAATATATTATGTGAGACCAGACTCAAAGTGACTTTATTTTTTTTATTTTTTTTTTTGATAGGGAGGGGTGATTTCATTAAATATTGATAGTCATTGTGCAATTACAATCATCCCTTAAGAGATCTAAATTTTAAATACAAAACAACTCTAAACTAATTACACAATTAAATTTTGACATTTTTATACTCACTTCATTCTTTCCTAAATAATTAACACATTTGACTTTTTTTTTATTATTTATATAATTAGTTTGACCATCGTTTTTTAGTTAAGTATAAAAAACATATTTTATCATTAAATATATTGTTAAACAGATATTAATATAAGTTTCATGATATTATCTTTCAAAATATTTCCCTCAAAAAAAAAAATATTTACTAACATTTAATTATATCATATACATTATATATTTTAAGATCAAATTAGTACATTGACATGTGTGTTAAATTTGACTGTGTCAATTTATTAGAAACGAAAAGAGTAGATTTTGACTCTTTTAAATTGGATATTTGACATTATAATATCATATATTGACGTTCTAGAATCAAATTTTTACATATTTATTTATATGAAATTTTGATGTTTTTGTATCAGATTTTAATATTATTTTTTTACATTTATTTTTCACATTTTAGAAATAGATTTTACCTACATATATCAGATTTTAACTCATTTACATCCGATTTTGACAGTTAATATCATTTTTTCGACATTTATTTTATCAAATTTTGACTTCAGTTACATCATATTTCAATAGTCTAATATCAGATTTTGACAATGTTATACGTAGATTTTTAACATTCTAATCAAAACTCCTTTAGAGACGCAACAAAATAACTAAGAGCACTTACAATGGTGAGCAAAATATTTGCCCATGAGCATATTTTGTGAGCAAATAAAATGCTCATCATCCACAATGGTGAGCAAATCCAAAAAACCGATAAAAAGCCCATGGGCAAATGTAAAAATGCCCATAGCTTGGGCATTTTTGGTGATGAATAGTGTTAGAAGTGGGCCCCACATGTTGCTGAATTGTTTAAAAAATGTTGGCTGCCAGCACTTCAAAACGACGCGTTTTGGGCTAGCAGCCTTAATGGCTCGCCTCAAAACGCGTCGTTTTGAGCTCCAGAATTAAAAAAAAAAAAAAAAAAAAAAAAAAAAAAAACTAGTGCACTGTAGCGCGTCAGGGCTTGTAGCGAATGGGAGTGCGACACGTGTTCTGTTGCAGGCTGTTGGCCAATGAAAAAAATAGCCGTTTTACAACGGTTATAATCCTTCTATAGCATTTTCCGAAAAATATATTTATTAAAAAAAAAAAAAAAAATTACCAACGGTCATAAAATTAAATTCTCTATAAATAGACATGCATTTTGATATGTTTTGATATAATTTCGTAATCACCTAAAATCCTCCACTTTTTTATTTTCTTAAGCATTTTAAATTTGTAGAAGAATATATTTGTTGCAAAACATCCATATTGAGGTAAATTTATTTTTTTTAAATATTTAAATTTTTTTTTAAATATTGGTTATTTTTTAAAAAAAATATATACATGTAGTTATGTATTAAAATTAGTATATATGTGATTTTTGGGAAAAAAAAAATATTGTATGGCATGTTATGTAATTGCTTTATGTAATTGAAGAAAGTTGTTGATAATTTCTCCTTTACATTACTAAATTTGTAGTAAATATAGTGTTGCAATTATTGGTTAATTTTATTTTAAATATATACATGTAGTTATGTATTAAAATTAGTATATGTGTGTTTTTTTTTTAAAAAAATATTGTAGGCCATGTACTGTAATTGAAGAAAGTTGTTGATGTTTTCTCCATACATTACTAAATTTGTAGTTAATAAAGTCTTGAAATTATTGGTTAATTTGTTTTTTTAATATTAAAATTTAGTTATGACTTTAAATTAGTATATATGTGAATTGGTTAATAAAGTTGTTGATATTTTTTTGGATTTGTTGTCATTTTAATTTGTTTTTTGAGTAAATCTTAGTAAAAATATTTATCTTTTGTTTTGTGATGCAGAATCTTTTAATGGATCCAAACAACCCAAATTTCCGTCAACAATTTTCTGGTTTTAGTGATGATTTCCTAACTAATCCCGAGTTTCAATTGTTCTTGCAAAGAATGGGCAATACGTCTTTGCAACCACCTCCACAGTATCAGACACCTACTCAGTTTCCCCTACGAAACCATGTTAATGAAGAATGTACACCTGAAATTGAACATGATAGCAACACACAATTCGATGAGAGCGAAGAAGACAACGTACCAGAGACGCCGCAATATCCTCCACCAGTTCCCGAACTGAAATCCAACCAGGTTGTTGCACGAGCGACTCGAATTTGGTCAGTTGCGGAAGATGAAACTCTGATTGGGTTGTACTTGGAGATCAGCGAGAATGCTATTAAAGGCACGAGCCAGAAAGCAACTTCCCTTTGGCGCGATGTACACGCAGCATATCAACTTGCTCATGCGGAGAAGCCGCATATACTTCCACCAAGACCTATGAAGAGTCTGACGTCGCACTGGAGAAGGTTGGCAGCAGACACACTACAGTGGATATCTTGCTATGATGAAGCAGGTAGACTTCCGGAGGGAGGGAGTGGTTACAACGAAGCTGACCGTATAAAAAGTGCGTCGAAGCTTTTCCATCTCGCCCAAGGTCGTAATTTCGCTTTTCCTCACGCTGTTGAAATGCTTAATAGAGATCCAAAGTGGAGGCCAAAGCTGAGATGGTCCTTGTCAAAGGAGGAAAGAAAAGCTGTTCGTGATGTTGAGGAGCAAGGTAGTGCTGGAAGTGGGAAGAGGTCCAGAGATGATGGAGGGGATGAAACCCCTACGGATGGTTTTTCATCTGGAGGAATACAACGACCCGAAGGTGTGAAGAAAGCAAAGGCCAAGCGTAAAGGGAAAGAAGTAGCTTCGGACAGTGGTTCGTCTGAGCTTAGCGAACGAATGAAGGAATTGGCAACAATTCGCGAGAGGGAGGCCATTCTGAAGGAAGAGCGGATCAAAATTGAAAGGGAGAAGGAACAGAGGAAAAGGGAGGAACTTGACATTCATAAGATGAAAACCTGGTTTGATATGGTGCAAGCTATGAAGAATTCGCCTACGCCACTCACTCCTGAAGAAGAGTCGTACAAGAATTTCTTACTGGGTAAATTACAGGGCTTATAAGCATGTTTGGTTGTAGTAGGTGTGCGCTTGTATTAGTTAAGTTTTTAATTATGCGCAATGTAGTCTTTTATGTTTAACATGTATTAGTGGTGTGTTTAATTTCACTGTCATATGTAAACTTGTATTCTGATTTTCCAATATTGAATGACAAGTTATTTAACAAGTTGATTTCAGTTGTCATTGTTACCGACATAGTTGCATTCAATTGTTGTCATTGGGTAGTCACTTTTTTTCTGATTTCACTTTAACTTTGGGTCATTCATGGCAACAAAATTGCAATAACTCTTTATCATTCAGTAGTCACATTTTTGTCATTGTGTAGTCACATGTTTCTGAATTAACTTTGTCAGTATGCTTTAACTTTAGGTCATTCATACCGACATGGTGTAGTCACTTTTGTTCTGAATTCACTTTGTCAAGATTTGTCATTGTCAACTAGCATAGTATACCTATTCCGTGGCTGAAAATTTGAATGCTTTAGTTGGTGTGGTCATTCAGATTTGTAACCACATATTCATTTGATTTATTTGCTATATATAGTAGGCATGGCACATATCCACAACCACACCAATTAAGAAAATTACAATATTAATACATGATGTATTCCAGACCATCATCAAGTTCAAGTTCAAGTTCATCTTCTTCCAATAATGAAGAATATGATCAACTCGTTGATGAACTCTTCACATACCAACCCACATCTTTCCTCATGCCCCAAACACAATCCCAACGTACTTCAAAATCACGTAGAGGGGGTACGAACAGAAGAGATTGGGAAATGGGACATGCCAGGCTGTTCAATGATTATTTTTCCGATAATCCTGTGTACAATACCACCCAATTTAGAAGAAGATTTCGTATGCAACGACCTTTGTTTTTACGTATAATGAACAAGGTCGTTGAAGGTGATGTTTACTTCCAGCAGCGTAGGGATGCAACTGGAAAGTTAGGCATATCACCTCTGCAAAAATGTACAGCCGCGATACGAATGTTAGCCTATGGCATGGCTGCAGACGCTGTTGATGAATACGTTCGAATCAGTCAGTCAACCGCTCGAGTTGCCCTACAACGTTTTTGTGCCGGGGTCATTGACCAGTTCGGAACCGAGTACATGCGAAACCCTACAACTGATGAATTGGCCCGGATACTGCATCAAAATGAACTGCGTGGTTTTCCAGGCATGATAGGCAGCATTGATTGCATGCATTGGGAATGGAAGAACTGTCCAACGGCTTGGAAAGCGCAGTACGCCGGTAGGAACAAGAAAGCAACGCTAATACTGGAAGCCGTTGCGGATCAGGATTTATGGATATGGCATTCCTTCTTTGGTATTCCCGGATCTTGTAATGATCTTAATGTGTTGTACCGTTCACCAGTGTTCGATGAGGTTCTGCATGGTCGAGCTCCTCCGGTAAATTTTACGGTTAACGGCCATGAATACAACATGGCTTATTATTTAGCCGACGGCATTTATCCGAAGTGGGCAACTTTTGTTCAGGGTATCACATTCCCTCAACTGGCCAAAGATAAAATGTTCGCTGACCACCAGGCTGCCGCTCGAAAGGACGTTGAAAGAGCTTTCGGTGTGTTGCAAGCTCGATTTGCAATAATACGAAAACCGTCGCTGGCGTACGATGAGGACATACTGCGGGACATAATGAAAACATGTATCATTATGCACAACATGATTGTTGAAGATGAGCGCCACAACTACACTCGAGCCGAAGTTCTAAGAGCCTTCTACGAAGAAGATCAACAAGAATCAACACCAGCATCAACATCTACAACGCCACCGTTTGAATTCAACGTAGGCCGACCTACCAACTTTGATTTCAACGCATTTCTACAGCGAAAAGCTTCCCTCCGTGACAGAGAAATTCATCTATCTCTGAAACGTGATTTAGTCGAACATATTTGGCAACACTACGGGCCACGTAATTAGGGAGAAATTAGCACGACTTAAATAAAGCCAAGTACTATGGCGTAGCTACTTTTACTTGTTGTGTTTATTTTATTTCCTAAGTTTAATTACGCATGACGTTGCAAATGTAATTGGTTTCTAGTATTGTACCGCTTTTAAAATAAATAAAAACATTTAAGAAATTTTGAGCTTTTTTAAATTTTTTTTTTATATAACGTACTTAATTTTACGACAAATTTTAACGATAAAAAGGACAAAAATAAAAAAAATAAGTTACACAAATTTTAACTAGTTTTTATTTATTTGGAGTAACATTGTTAAAATATAAATGAAATAAATAAGTAAAGAAGTGTTGTGTAGGAGAGAGAAAGTAATGGTGGGGTATTGAAAAAGTAAGAGAGAGAGAGTGGTGGGTGGGCAATTTTTTTGCTCACCATTGGGAGAGAATATGTGAAAAAAATTTGCCCATGAGCAAAACTTATTTCTTGAGAGAGAAAGTGGGTAGAGAGAGAGTGGGTGAGCATTTTTTTTGCTCACCATTGAGAGTGGTCTAATAGATAGTTTTCCACCATTTCTTTTCTCACTCCTCTTGTCCCACTTCCACTTCCGCCCAAAAACATAAACCACCATGTATAGCACCTCACCCACCTAAATAGGAATTAATAGAGTAGCTAGTACTACGTAATTAGGTACGAATGCAAATGGAGGAAAGCAATAGATACTGCAAAAATTGTGTTACTACTGGAGGTGCTGGATTTAATGGTTCATATCTCATAAAAATGCTCTTAATAATGGGGTATTTACTATTATCATGCCAAACTACTCAGAAACTTAGTTGATTAGTGTAGGGGAGTGTGTGGACAGACTCACGGTGAATACGTTTTACACAATACAGCGGGTAGGAGGAAGAAGATGAATAGCTTGGTCTTCTAACGCCATTAACTGCAGGTGGCAACACATTTGCACAAACAATAAAAATATTATTTTAAATTCAGCAATACAATTTTTAATACAATATATTTACAAAAGTGCTAATGTTAGAAACTGGGCACGCCTCCTAAAATAGGTATTTTTAAAGCAATAGAATGAAAATTCATTACTAGGTTAAAAATTTAATTAAAACAAAGGATATCAACTGATGACCTTCTAAAGCTCCTTCGACTGAAAAAATCGAATGAGGAAACAACAAATAAACTACAAGCCCTGACCAACCCTATGAACTAGACCATACCACAATGGCAATAAATCCCCCCAAAAAAACCCAAACTCGCATTTCCAAAATGGATTTATTTGAATACGTAGAAGATTTAATGTACTTCATATGAGATAAAGCACATTATTACAAATAGTTATTACCGTGATAGTGAAAGACAATAAAATCTGAATTTTCCAATTTGAAAAAGTCTAAGGGACCCCATTGTCAAACAAGCTAAGAAGACCTTTTTTTTTTTTTAATTCTTTTGAGGGCAGAAGACTTGAAGTCAACTAAAGACAAAAATGGAGAATTTTCAAATCTAAATATTGGAAAAATTCATGGGAATAATCCCACCTTTGGGCCATTCTTTTTTAATAATCCCACCTTTGGATTATTATATAATAATCCGACCTTTGGGTCCCTTTAATTTTTATTGGTCCCAACCGATCATGTAACCTGTTATAACAGGTTACATGACACGTGGCGACCTTGTAATTGGTCCAAAAAAAAAGTTAAAAAAAATCAATTAAAAAAAACCTTTTAAAAAAAAATCCACCCATCCCATTCAACCCCAACCACCCACGAAACCACCCCATTCAACCCAGCCACCCACGAAACCACCCAATGCCCTTCATAGTCAGCCCCACAGCCAATTCCTACCTGAACCACCTCCATCCACGAAAATTCCCACCACCAACGCCCACGAAAAATCATGAAAATACACAAAAAGTAGACCGTAAAAAAACCCATCCACAAAGTTGATGAAAAAAACCCACAAAATTCAGACTCTAAGAAAACCCAGAGTTCACAAAAATTCGAACAAAATTAACGAGAACTCAAAATCAAACCCAAAAACAAAGAAATTCGAACAAAATGTGAACAGAGTTCACGAAAATTCGAACAAAATCAAAGAAAACTCAAAAACAAACCCAAAATCAACGAAATTCAAACCAAAACTCAAACAAAAATCGAAAAAAAATCAAACAAACATGAAATTTCGATTAGAGAACAAAATAAAACCACAAAAATCGAAAATAAACAAAAACAAACAAAATTTTCAGACAAAACAACATACCTTTCCCATTACTTCTTCCTCTTTAGGTTTATATGGTCAAATTCGACCATAAAAACTCCAGATTTGGAATTTTTACGGTCGAATTTGACCATGAATACCAAACTTCGTTTGTTGGCGAAAATCCAACACCACAATTCGTTTGTTGACGAAAATCCTAAGAAAAAGATAGAATGAAGAAGAAAAAGAGAGCAAAAATGGAGGAGGAGATGCAAAGAAAGACAAAGGAAAGAGAAGAAGGAGCAAGGAAAGAGAAGGAGATGGAGGGACATGAGAAAGGAAAGAGGAGAGAGAATGAAGGAGAAGGGCTGGGGGTTCGTGGTGGCTGGGTTCGGGGTGGGGGGTTTAGGGTGGTGGTTATGGTGGGGATAGGGCTGGGTTTCAGATGGGGGTTTGGGGTGGTGGTAATGGTAGGGTGGCTAGGTTTTGGGTGGGGGGTTTTTAATTATTATTTTTTTTACCAATTATGTAATGACACGTGTCAATTTAACTTTAATAAAAAAATTTACCTACTCAACCGGTTTCTGGTCAAATGGGACCAATAAAAATTAAAGGCACCCAAAGGTCAGATTATTAAATAATAATTCAAAGGTGGGATTATTAAAAAAAAAATGGCCCAAAGGTGGGATTATTCCCATGAATTTTTCCCTAAATATTTTCTATCTATAGTTTTTTCTATTTTTATAATATTTTTTCTTCCTAAAAAAATAATTAGTGATTGAGATATTCCACGCCATTTAGTTTTGCTGTGATTAGAAGTATAAAAAAAAAATCCTTGGAATAGTATTCCATAACTATATCTAAAGGGAAAGACTTGAAGTCTGCAAATAAGATCAGACTTTAATTTGTGGGATTTGGTAGAATTTTCTAAGAAACCTATGTGTAGGGCTGTAGACTTCCATAGCATTTTGTACACGAAATATTTTTTTTTAAAGAAAACAAATATTTGTATATTTGATTATTAATGAACATTGTAAGAAAAAAATAAAATATTAGTGATAGCTCACAATAAACTTTTTTTTTTTTTTTTTTTTTGTGTTTAATTAATAAAAATTTTGGTCAAAGATTTTAACCTTTAATCACTAAAATAAAAATGCGAAGGTATTAGGTGCGGATTGCCATACGAAAATTTGCGTGCAGCAAGCTTGGCTGATATATATATTTCATTTGTTGGTTGATATGTTTCATGTGTTAACTGATATGGTTTTTGTGTTGGATAATATATTCCTTTTGTTGGCTATATGTTTTTTCTATATTTTTTTTTTAATTTATGATACGTTCCTTTTATTGGCTGCCATATCTGATATATTTCTTTAGTTGGCTGATATGTATATTTTAATTGTTGGCTTATATATTTTATTTTGTTGGCTGATATGTTTATTTTGTTGGCTTACATGTTGCTTTTGTTTGCTAATTTTATCCTTTTGTTGGTTGATATACTTCATTTGTTGGCTGATATGTTCCTTATGTTGGCTAATAAGTACCTTTTGTTGCTGATATATTCCTTTTGTTGGCTAATAAGTACCTTTTGTAAGTTGATATATATATTCCATTATTGCTCTTGTTGGCTAATAAGTACCTTTTTGTTGGCTGATATATATTCATTTGTTGACTAATACGTTTTTATTAATGTCTGATATGTCCCTAATGTTGACAGATATTAAACATTAATTGGCTGATATGTTCATTTTAATAGTTAATATGCGTTATTTGTTGACTAATATGATTAACAATATACAATATACTTTCATTTCTTTCTCTTTCCTCTTGGCTAATATGCTCATAAAAAATAAAAAAAAAAAGTATAAGCTATTCCATTACACAAAAACAAACAAAAATTACACCAAACTCCACTTTTTCCAAACACACGTCAATGGCGCCTCCTCAACATCTCCATCACCACTTTCTCATTTCTCCCCTTCAATGGCGGATTCACCAAAACCCCACTCACCAATCCTCACGCCATGCACCCCACCGATCCCACGGTCCATCGAACCCACCAACCACCGCAACACCAGCCGAACCCACCAATCACCGACGCCGCACCATTAGGACATCTAATTGTAATTTATTTTTTTTCGATTTAGGGTTATTTATTTGTTTTAATTTGTGATTTGTTTTGATTTTGGGAATTTCTTTTTTTTTTCTTAGTATTATTTGGAGATTTTGGGGATGTAGACCTGGATTATGGTTCAATGTGTTTGATTTTGTAGGTGGTTGAAGGATGGAGTGTTGTTGCCGCTGTCGCTCCTGCTACCTTCTCAGCGCACGAACTATTGGGTGCGAACTGGCCGCACCCAATTTTGTGAATGAAGATTACCACTATATTATGTAGAGAGAATAAAGTATTAATAGGAAGATAAATCATAATAAGAAAAAAAAGACATTGGAATTTAGTTAATTAAAATGGATATATATATAAATAAAAAGCCAATGACAAGTAAAGGTTATACCGGGATCCCATGTTGAATTGTTGAGAGAAATAAGATCGAACCGGTAAATTGGATTATAAAAATGTATGATCCTACAAAACTGGTAAAATGAGTAAACAAAGCAAACTGTTGCTACATAAATAGATACATCTTTCAAATATTAAAAATGCTAAAAGTGATTTAAGTAGTAGGATAGTCATTTTTAAGAAAATTGAAAAGGTTATTTAATAACTAAGGTTTATTTGGTATCCTTGTGATTTTCTGTTTTTTGCTTTTATTTATTTTTTAAAATCATATGACATTTGTCATATATATAACAAATTAAAAATTAGTTAAATTTATTAAAATTTTTGTAATTTAGAAAGCTGCAATAGGACCCATTGTTTGAAAAGGTTTTTTGAAATCATTGTTTTTATTTTCTGTAATTTTGAAAAGGTTTTTTGTTTAAAAAAAACTAAAAACTGAAAGAAAAAAAAGATGCCAATTAAATATTGGATCGTTCGATCCTGATGAAGGCCTTGTTTACTTCACCTTAAAAAAATAATATTCAAAAATATTATTATGCTGACTTGTCCAAAGTAACAAAAACTATCCAAGTATACTCCAAATTCCTTTCGTTGTCATTTGCTGTAACCTGTTATGATACCTTTCACGGAGTACAATTCTAATGCTATCGTTATCATCATCTAGGAGTTACTAATTAATGCTACAATATTCTATATATACTTAGCACATAGATTAATAGATATTCATTCATTGATCTAGCCAAAGCTGGGTGACAATGAATTCTCATAAACTCATCCTTTCTTGTTTTTTGCTATTTTCCTACTTCATTTGTGTTGCTCATGGGTAGGGGTGAAAGTTCGGTTTTCGGTTTGGTTTTGGCCCAAACCGAAACCGAACCACCATATTTCGGTTTCTTGATTTTGCAAACCACACCGCACCACTTTCTCTTTGAAACCGAACCGAACCAAACCACCTAAATTTCGGTTTTCTTAAAAAAAAAACCAAACCGCACCGAATTTTCCTATCAAGCATCATGAACATCAAATTTTGCAAAAAAACCGAACCGAACCAAACCAATTAAAACCGAACCAAACAAAACCAAACCAATCCAAGGTATTAATTATTACCATCCCACCTTATCACCACCAACACCCACCCACCACCCATCACCCTGACCACCTAAAACCCACCCACCACCCACCCTAACCTACCAAAACCACCGAAACTCACCACCCATCCCCAAAACCACCCGAAACCCACCCGCCATCCACCCTAACCCATCAAAAACCACCCGAAACCCACTCATCATGCATCAACCCGAATCCATCAAAAACCACCCCTCCACCCACCAAAAACTGAAGAAACCCACCATCCATCCTGACCACCCGAAACCCACCCAAAACTACCTACCACCACCACAATTCAATCATACACCACCATAAAAATAAAAAACTCAAACCAAATTAAAAGAAAGAAAAAGAGGACATACCTCACATTCCACCGAAAAACCTCGAATTTGGGTTTTAAAGGTCAAATTCGACCATGAAAATACTAGATCTAGTGTTTTCATGGTCGAATTTGACATGAAAACCTTTAGAATGTGAACACTGGTGCCCAGGTGGTCGTCCTTGCCTCCTTGGTCGTACTGTCGAAGAGGAGAAGAGAGTGAAAGTGGAGAAGAGATCGAAGAGGAGAGAGAAAGGACAGAGTAGAGAACTAGAGATTGGAGAAGATAAGAAGAGGAAAGGAGAAAGAGAGAACCGAGAGGGAGAAAGCTCACAAATGGAGAAAAGAGAAGAGGATTAGAGGAGAGAGAAAGGGAGGAAAGAGAAGAGGAGAGAGTGAGAGGCTGAGAAGAGTGATTAGGGTTTTTTTTTTGCCTTATATAGTATGGGCCGAAATTCGGTTCGGTTTCGGTTTTCATTTCCCGAAACCGAAACCGAACCATACAATTTCGGTTTCTTGATTTTACAAACCGAAACCGAACCACTTAAGAAAAAAACCGAACCATATTCCTAATTCGGTTCGGTTTTCGGTTCGGTTTGGTTTTAAACCAAATTTGTTTCACCCCTACTCATGGGATTGATACCATTAGCACCCACCACAAAAACGTCATGTGTATTGAGAAAGAGAGAGAAGCTTTGTTGAAATTCAAAGAGGGCATTCAAGTCGATCGTTGCGGGCTGCTGTCTTCTTGGGGAATTAATGATGACAACAACAGAAATTGTTGTCAATGGCGTGGCATCCGTTGTAGCAACCAAACTGGCCACGTAATCAAGCTCGACCTTCGTGGTGTCGAGGAAGAGAGTTATTGTATAACAGGTAAAGTGAGTTCTTCCCTTGTTGATTTGAAGCATTTGAGTTACTTGGATCTCAGCCTTAACAATTTCGACCAACCCATCCCTAGTTTTGTTGGTTCCCTTGTGACTTTGAAATACCTTAATCTATCCAGTGCTAGATTCAGTGGAGAAATTCCACACCAGCTCGGAAATCTATCCTCCTTGATTTCTCTTGATCTTAAGAATGACCTTTTTGTCAAAAACTTGTCTTGGCTCTCACATCTAAAATTGTTAAGATACATCGACATGACTGGTATCGATCTTGAAAGAGCCATAGACTGGCTAAGAATCGTGAACGACCTCCCATTCTTAAGAGTTCTTCACTTGGAGTACTGTAACCTTCCCTCTAGAGTTCCATGGCCACTTTCATACAAAAACTCCACTACCACTCTTTCATATCTTAATCTTGCTGGAAATGATTTGAATGATTCATCAATATTCCAATGGCTTTTTAATTTGAGTGGAATCGACACTCACCTTGCACATGTTGATGGTCCAAGCGCATTTGGGAATATGCATGCTCTTTCGCATCTAGACCTTTCCTTCAATCAATTGCAAGGTCCGATTCCAGACACAATTTCAAACTTACAATCACTCCAATATCTGGACCTCTCATTTAATAATTTTCAGCTCTCACAATTTCCTAAAATAGGCAATCTGTGTAGCTTACAAATACTCCACTTGGAAGAAGCCAACATCATCGATGAGCTTCCCAACATAATCCAAACACTAACCGGATGCGCAAACAAGTCCTTACTGGATTTATGTCTAAGTGATAATCAAATCTGGGGTCCAATTCCAGACACGATTGGCACATTTTCATCATTACAACAATTATCTCTTTATAATAACCGTTTGAATGGAACCATCGGTCGTCGTTTGGGGCAACTATCAATGCTCGAGACATTGGATCTTTCTTCCAACTCTCTACATGGTACTCTCTGTAGCAGCCATTTCTCAAATCTGTCAAGATTATCGGTGTTACACCTTTCAAATAATCCAGCACTGGTGCTCGATATTGAAGATGATTGGGTTCCTCCATTCCAGCTGGATTTTATATCATTAAGGTCTTGCAGATTGGGACCAATCTTTCCAAACTGGCTTGTGAGCCAAAATAACTATTCGTTTCTTGATATTTCTGCTGCTGGAATTTCAGACAGCATTCCGGATGTTTTTACATTGCCTTCAAAGCTCTCTTATCTTAATATGTCTCATAATATGATTTATGGAACACTTCCATATTTTGACGTACCAACCACACCCCTTTATTCTACGCTTGCCATAGATATGAGTTTTAACAATATTGAAGGTGCAATACCACCATTTCCAGTAAACCTTACCTCATTACAATTGAATAACAACAGGTTTTCCGACCCCGTCCTCTTTTTGTGTCCTAGAGGTGAAGTACTTCTATCCTATCTTGATCTCTCAAATAATTTGTTGTTCGGGAAACTTCCAGATTGTTGGATCAATTTCGAACAATTATCCATTCTCCATTTAGAGAATAATAACTTTTCTGGTGGTATACCACCTTCCATTAGTTATTTGAAGCAATTGGAGTCGTTGCACTTGCGCAACAATAGTTTTTCGGGAGAACTTCCAAGATCATTAGAGGATTGCACATCCCTAGTTTATCTTGATCTTGCTCATAATTCATTTACTGGACGTATATTGCCAGGTATTGGGACTAATCACAAAAACCTCGGTTTTCTAAGCCTTGGAAGCAATAATTTTGTTGGAGAAATACCTTTGAGCCTTTGTCAATTGCCCTCTCTTCAAATCTTGGATCTCGCTGTCAACCAAATTTCTGGAACCATTCCAAATTGCATTCGTAATCTTACAGCAATGCAAAGTACATCAGATATGATTCCACCATTGCAAAATAATCATACTTTTGGAACAATTGAGAGTACCATTCACTCTAGGGATTTAATTGTTTTTTCTATACTAAACACTGATGCTGCAACAATTATGTGGAAGCAATTAGAAAGGTCCTTTGGGGAGTATTTAGGACTAGTCAAGCTCATTGATCTTTCAAACAATAAGTTGGAAGGAGAAATTCCCAGAGAAATTTCAGCTCTGCAAGGTCTCGTCTCCTTAAACTTGTCAAGAAACAGTTTGGTTGGAAGCATCACACCGGAAATTGGACAGTTGACAGCTTTAGAAGTTCTTGGTTTGTCAAACAACCACCTCTCTGGTGAAATCCCTGCAAGCATCACTGCTTTGAGTTCTCTCAGCAACTTGGATTTGTCAAACAACCACTTCTCTGGAGAAATTCCGAAGGGCACTCAACTTCAAGGTTTCGATGCTTCAGTATATGCAGGAAATCCTCAACTTTGCGGAGCTCCTCTCCCGTACTGCTCTTGGGATCAACCACACCACAACTCGACGAGGGGTGATAATACTACTCCCCAGGATGACACTGATGATGACAAGATGTTTATTGTGGGGTTGTACGTAAGTGTGGTGCTCGGATTTATCATAGGATTTTGGGGAGTTTATGGAACATTGGTGGTCAAAAGATCTTGGAGACATGCCTTTTTTCAGTTCTTTGATGACATGAAAGATAGGCTCTATGTCATGGTTTCATTGAGCATTGCTAAATTTAAAAGGAGGCTCTAAATCCAGTAAGTTCTTAATCAATTTAAAGTGGGTCTGGATGGAGGAAAGCCCTCCGGATGTTAGTCATGTAATCCTTACTGAATTCATCTTAATAAAATCTATCCTTTTTTTCTGTTACCAAAAAAAAAAAAAAAAAAGGCGCAATTCACCTTAGCTTGTTAAAGAATGTAATGTATCTGTAATGTAATATAATTGATGTGATTCTTACAATATTTTGCAATTAAAATTAAATTCTGAGTAAATTTATCAGCAAAATATTGTAAATTTTCTCAGACTTGTTCAACTTGAGTGGGATCAACGCTCATCTTAGCTTGTGCACGTCGATCTCTCTCATAACTCATCTTGATCTTTCTAACAATCAACTTGCTGGTCCTATTCCTACTGCTATATTAGGAATATACGTTATCTTTCAGATCTTTCAAGTTGGGTCTGAGTATAGTCGGGTAAAAATCGAATTCGGATCAAGTTAAATTCAGGTCAAGTCAAATCGAGTTCATATGAAATCGGATCCTAATTTTTCAACTTTAGTTGGATCAAAATGGATTTATTAGACTTTGGATCAGATCATTTTGGATTCGATAAGATCTAGGTTCAAATCAATTCAATTTCGGTTAAAATTTGGGTAGGCTTACTTCAATTATTAGCTCATTTTTTATTAGAATTATTTTAGTTTCGATTATTGGGTTGTGGAATATGAATTTGGGTCAATCTCAATTTGAGTCATTTTAGTTTCAGGTATATTAGCATATAGGTAATGTCATTTTTGTTATTAGAGATTTCAATTCATATTTACTCTGTATAATTTTTTTTAGGTTTCATTTAAGTTTTGTGTTGGCTTTTTCAGAATTTGTATAAGATTGACAACTCAAGTCACTAAAGAAAATGATTACTTATCACCTTATTTGGTGTTTATCATGTCATTGTAAAACTTCTTTTTTCTTACCATTTTGCATTTATCATCTTTCCGGCTATTAATCATTTTCAATTATTCATTAGCAACTCATCGGTTATGGTCATGGAAAATTTAATTTGGCTTAGGTTATTATTAATAGGTTGGGTTTAATTAGACCATGAGTAGTTTCGAGTCGATTTTAATCGATACATGGGAAGTTTCAAGTCTAATAAATAAAGGTCGGGTAAAAAGAGATATTTTTCAAGTCTAAATGGTTTAAGGTAGTTTTCGGTTCGGGCCAAATCGATTTCGGATCTTGAATTATCTGGTCTTATTGGTTTCGGATTAACTATGAGTCGATTTCAAGTTGAGTTTGGATCATACATTACCGGTTGAAGTCGGTTTCAAGTTAATTTCGGGTTTACTCCAGATCAAATTCGAAAAAGATCTAACAAGTTTGAAAATAGTTCAGTTTCGGGTAAATCTTTCGAGTCGGTAAATTTTTGACACCCCTAGTTCGTTATCACCGTGAAAGTGAAGGGCAATAAAATCTGAATTTTCCAACTTGAAAAAGTTTAAGGGACCCCATTATGGCATTATCAAACACGGTAAGAAGACTTGAAGTCAACTTTTTTGTTGTTAAGGGAAAGACTTGAAGTCAACTTAGTGAGCAAATATAAGATCAGACTTTAATTTGTGGGATTGGTAGAATTTTCTAAGATACCAGGCTTCCATAGCATTTTGTATGGAAACTAGGTAGTACGTGTGCGATGTCCGGGATGTTAACTCGGTATATTTATGTTAAAAGTGATCGATATTATTAAAAATAGGAAGTTGATAAAAAAAAATCACAAGAAGCAAAATACTACTACGTATAATTGAAATCATTAGTGTAACAATTTTGATTAGATAAACTTGGATAGCAAACTAACCAACCAAATGGCAGGAAAATAATAGGAGGTTGTTATGAAATATTGGGTGGATGCCTATTATCCTTCTTGTATCATCCAAAATATTCTAAATCTAGGGTTTATTGTTTCCAAGTAAACCCTAATTATATTGTACGTATATATATTCCAATCATATGGAATAAAGATACATATTACTTCTCTCTCAATCTCTCTCCTATTCCCTTTATTTTATAATACGTTATCAGCATTAAAGCTTTAAACCATCAATTTAGATTAAAACCTAGCTAACAATCTAGATCAAGTTTCCGACGGACTTTTCCGGTGCTGGAAAATCACTTCCAATGACTGATTTCCGTCGAAAAAGTGTTTTCGACGGAATTGCCGTCGGAAAAGATCGTTTTTCCTACAAAAACGTTTCCGATAACCGGTTTCGACGGAAATTCCGTCGAAAACGTGTTTTTTGACAGATTTCAGGGTGTTTCCGACGGAATTTTTCCATCGGAAATCGGCAAATTTCTTATAGTGTATTCAGCTTTATGGAACACATGACAAAAACACTTTGGCTGAAGGATGTGATGTATCTATAATGTAATATAATTCATGTGGTTGTTAGTTGTTACCATATTTTGCAATAGAAATTAAAAAACTGAGTAGAACTATCAGTATAATGTTGTCAAGTTTCTCAGACGTGTTAAACTTGAGTGGCATCAATGCTTGCCTTAGCTTGTGCACGTCAATCTATTTCATAACTCACTCTCAGGCCTCATTCCTGATGGCCTAGCTCGGTGCCTCAGTTGCCACAGCGCGAATCTTTAGACTTGTCAAATAAAAAATTAGAAGTGAGGAAGTATTCCCTTTAATCTTGGGAAGCTTTCGTCTCTAAATTCCCTTGATTTGTCAAACAATAGCCTGTCCGGGACAATTGCACTCCAGCTGCAGGCGTTTGGGGGGTTGCTCTTTGCAACTAATTTTGGCATTTGTGAACAACCAAATATCCAGGATTGCACTATGTACGTCAGTACGTGAGTGTCGGGGTTGGATTCTACTTCGGATTTTAGTGTTGAAACATTATTGGAGATATGCCTTATTTCAGTTCGTGGATGATATCATGAACAAAATTTATGTGACAATTACTATATATATACATGCTCAGGGAAAATCTCAACTATAACGTGTAATCACATTAGAGACATTCTATGCAGTTTGATTGGATTTGAGTTTGTGTTGAAATATAGATAACCTATTTTTGTGCTCATGCATTGACTTGTTTCATTGAGAAGAATATCAGAGATTTTGCTCTTCATACAATTGGAAAATACCAGATCATATGTTAAATATATTGACAAAGTAGTTCTACATTTTGTTTCATTTTATTTGCAACACTTTTCATTTTATACTTGCTTGTTAGTTCTTATTTCAGTCATTGATATATTTAATTATCAATAACAATTAAAAAAAAAAATTGATTTAATGACTATTATAAGTTGTGGCATGTCCAAGTATCCAAGAAGACCATGTTTTTCTCGTTATAATAATAATAATAATAATAATAATAATAATAATAATAATAATAATAATAATAATAATAAAAGAACCGTATTTCTCCATAACCATAAATCACCGAAAATAGTCAATATAAATGCACAAATCAAAATACTGCATGTATAAAGAACGGAATTTTCACCATATACCCCTGAACTTTTTTGAATTCATCATATACCCCCGAGTTTTCACAAAAATACACCATACACCCTTGATGAATAATGATTGTTAACTTCGTTAGCCATTAAGGTTAATCATGACCCGAAATCACCCTAAATACATTCCACTACCTCTAAAACCACCCTAATTCCTTTTTCCCACCTCCAAAACCACCCCAAATTTCTTTTTCTCATCATCAAAATCAATCATACGGACATGGTTATGGAGATTTGGAATGGTTTCGGGGGTTGAAGAAAGGAGAGGAGTGATTTCGGGGATGGAGCGAGAGACTTAGGGTGGTTTCGATGCATAATTAACAAAATTCCACTTATCTTGTTGTCATTAGGGGTATATGGTGAATTATTATAACAATTCAAGGATATATGGTGAAAAAACCGTATACAGAAATAGAGGAAACAATAAAGTATAATGGTTTGAAGACATTGGATATTGTTATATAGAAGCACCAGTGGTCTAGTGGTAGAATAATTACCCTGCCACGGTACAGACCCGTGTTCGTTCCAGGCTGGTGCAAAGCTATGAAGAATTCTGCGCATGATGTGGCACTTTAGGGTCCGCCACCCTCTTCTGATCAACCTGAAGAAGCTAATGTGCATATGAGCTTTTTTTTACCTTTTTTTAAAAAATATATATTTTATTTGTTATTTTATTTATTTTGAAGTTGGACCAAATACCATAAACTTTAAATTTTTACATTTTAGTTTGTCAATGCACCATATTAATTAGTTCTTTCAAAGAAATGCAAAGGATGTTTGCTAATAGCTTGTAAACCAGGATAGAAATACAACTATTTGTTAATATGAGTATATATATTTTTTTATGTTACTCCGTACAAGGTAACAACGAACATGAGTAAGATATACATGTATGGGGATTTTCATTAATAGACTCTCCAAGAAAACAACACGTGATAGAAATCAATACTCCATAGAATATTTACTTGTATAATTAAATTAGATAGAATATGAACACTCTTGAATTTCAAATAATTCATTCATATATCCAACTATGAATAAATTAAAAATTCACTGCATTTTTAGATCATCATCCCCAGGTTTCACAACACAACTTATTTCATTTAGTTTTTCAATCAAACAAAATAATTTAATTAATTTTCTAATAAAATGCAAGTATAAGGAACAGATCGGTGATTGTTTCGTGTAGTAAGAGATCTTCAGTTTGTCCTCTCAATAAAGATCATTAGACTCTAAGTCGACTACTAACATATAAGAGAATTTATTTGTCATTATAGTTGTAAGTCACATGATATTTTCCATGTTAGAATTGGATCACACAATAACATAAATTATATACAAATATTAATTAACATTTGAATTGCCCTTTCTAGTCGCAAAACTACAACTCAAGGGCTTTAACTGAAAACACATATATATTGTTTACATTATGTTTACAACTCCCTTCGTTTCACAATATTCTTTCAAAATAAAAACTATAAGCATGGTATTTATCGTACAGATAAGTGCAATCAATGTCAAGAGCTAAGTAATTGGCGAACATTAATAGGTGAAATATCAGTAATATTCCCATCAATTAGACGTTTAGCAATACTTTGATCTATCACTGCAAACACTAGATGTTGGGTTACAGGGAATTAAATCCCCCAATAAACTCCCAACACCAGCGTTATGGCAACATGGTGAACCTATTATCTCCACACCTGTCATATTTTATCATATAACAAAATTTAGTTATCAAATTTGTATGATACAATTCAAAATTAAGGATGATATGTGGGTATTTTATTACGGATTTC